TACAGAAGAGCAGTTATTAAGTAGTAGAATTTTACTTTTTTCTTTCTTGACTAAATGGTGCGATCAGCTCTGGCACTTTTCCGTAGGGAAATGTGAGTCACTTTTTATGATTTAAGTATGCTCAGTCCATAGGGTTGCGAAGGCACGACTGAGCAACACCGTGTCCATATAAAGCTACCATTTTCTTCTTAATGAAAGAAAGAATGGAACTCATTAAGTAAAATCAGCTTGTATTAAGTCTGATAATAATGCTACCAGAGAGCAAGAAAACTAACCACTGTATCAAATGAGATTTTGTGTTGAGGACTTCTAAAATATTTTCTTCCAGATACTTCAAATCTTTAATAATTCCATTGCAAATAATTCCATTAAATTACATTTCAGTACTTCTCAGAAACCAGAGTTATTTGATAATACTTTAATTGCCAGCTTGGCCTATGGGATTACATAGTAAAATTTTATTTTGTCCTTTTCTAAGCTTTTCTAACCACTGATTCACAAGGTATGCACTTCAAGGTTCCATTTGAAAACAGGACAAACTGATGATTGCTTGACACAGAGAAAAGAACCTTAGAACTGGAATTAGAAAATTCACATTTGCTTAATAGCTGTATGAATTGAACCATATCAGATAACTTCAAAAAGTTTCCGTTTCCTCACTTAAAGAGTGGCAATAAGATTTATCTTACAAGGATTGTTGGCCTTCAAAAAATAGATTCCTTTTCATTTCTTCCTCTGACTCCACCTCTACTTGGACTTGAATGAATTAATTATAATCCACCTTAGAATCAGCCATCAGAAGTTCTATGATTCTAAAGGTTTTAGAATGAGAACCTGATTTTGAGGATTATCCATGGCCTTTTCTCTTCTTTTCTGTTCATCAGTCATTCACTATTAAATACTACCACACTAGAGGACAGGCAGAAAAACAGAGAGGACACAGTAGATTGCTTGTGAAATCTTACTAATATCGATAAATTAAAGAGTAAATGAGGTGAAATCAAATAGTTGGATTTTAAGACATATAAAGAGAGTCTGTGGTCAGCCTATAGGACAACCACGAGAAGCTCTTCAAGTAGGCAGAAAAATGGCATGTAAATTTAATGTAATCAAGATCACTTTATGAAAAAAATTCCAAATTTTATCTTTAAAATAATAGATTAGAAAAAGGTCTTGAGAGTGACTGCTGATCATTTTCCAAAGACAAACTAGTTTCCTGTTTTTGAAAAATGCCCACATAGTATCATCAACAATAAAGAAAAAATAAGAAGCTATCCCACTCATATAGAAGGTTGTAAAGCCACTGACTTAAATATTTAGTTTAGTTCTACTTGTTTCAACTCCAGAAAGACATAATGAAACTGGAGGACAGCCAGAGAAAAGAAGCCAAATTGGCAGGTAAGGGAAGAACAGAAAACATTACAATTCTTAGAAAAGAGTCATAGATTCTTAGGGCTGGAATTATCCTTAGACATCATATATACTAATTCCTTATGTTTCTAGAATATTCCTGATGAATCATAACTAGCTGAATTATCAAAAGTCTATCACATGCTGGAGACTAACCAGAATCATTCCTTTTTACTGCAGCCTTTGTCCGAACTACCACCTTAAATACATCTCAAACACACCCACTTATCTCCACTGCCATCATCTGGCCCATCATTTTTCTTTTTCAATTAATCTAATGCAATAGGTATCTAAATGGTTACCCTCTTACAGTTCTGCTCCTCACAACCAAGCTCCAACTTCCCAATCCATTGTAACAGAGGGATCTTAAAACAAATTAAATCGTGTCATTGGCTTACTTAGAATACTTCAATGATTTTCCATCTACTTTAGGATCAATTCCAAAATAATAAACACAGCCCTGAGTGCTTGGCTCCTGCCTCCCTCACTGCTACCACCTAATATTGCTTTTTCCTTGGCTCACCAAGTCTATCCACACTGGCTTTCTTCAGTTCCTTAAAAGTTAAATGCTTTCCCATATAGAACCATAAATATAAAAATAACCACCACCACAACCATTACAGCCAACATTTTATCATGTTTTCACTATGTGACCAGCTCTGCACTAAATGCTTTAAGTGTATTATATGTGTATGTTATATTGCACATTCCAGGAACAGTTTTTCTCCCCAGTCTTCCACAGCCAACTCATACCATTCTTTATGGTCACAGATCATATGGCATTTCCTCAAAACAGTCCTTTCATCCCCAGATCTAAATTTGGCAACTGTCACAGTCCCTTAAAATTTTCCTCTGTAGGATGTATCACAGTTATGATTATATAATTTTATGATATTATTTTTAATGTCTGTCTAACCTCTAATAGACTATAAATTTCATGAAGGCAGGGATCAAATGTTCAATAAATATTCCTGAGTACAAATATCTGCTGAATCATTCAAATCTAAGAATGAGATGCTGAATCACTCTATGGAAGAATCTGAGTGTTAAAAATCCTATTAAAACATTCTTGTCTACAAAGAAAGCTTGTTCCTTTATAATGCCTAAGTCTTATAATGTCTGTTCCCTTATAAGGACTGTATACTATTTTAATTCTGTTCTCTTGACCAATACTGAAAAAGTATATTGTATTCCCTTTTGTAGCTCTTCAAATACTTTCAGCCTGGAGAGTTAAAGACAGAGAGAACTAGCAATTAAGGTGAGATAATTCCAGATTTATTCATAACAAAAAGTTAGAATGCAGAAGACAAGGAGGTATCTTTTGAAATTAGAGACTTATTTAGGGCATATCTATAGAAATTAATTCTTTGCCTATAGTAAATAAATGTAAGACATATACAGACATGCAATATAGATGGGACTACTCTGGCACTATCACAAACTGGGTTCTATTTTGTATAAATCTAGAAAGAAACAAAACTGGAGGAGATCCAATTAAATGACCATTCAGAAGTTTTGGGAAAAGTAATTAGCTATGCAATTACAACTAACCTTAAATATCCTCAAATTTTTAGACTGATATTGTGAAGTACAACTGTATTTTCCCGTATCTCTTGAGAATTTTACCGAACTTTGGATTAAATTAACTATATTTATAAGATTTTGAAGTTAATACAAGAAAATAAAAGTTGGGAATTATCAAGAACCATAAATATTTTTTAGACATTTTATATATACATATATATGTTAATTCAATATAGCCGCTAAAGTTTTTCAAAAGACTTATCTCCCATCCTTAATGAGAAGATGGAATCTCAAAGTTGGAATGGTTTTTTTGTTTCACAACTTATTTGATGCCTAAACTGCACTATAAAATCTAGGCCAAGTGGCTTTCAGCTAACAGTAAAATATCCCCAGCTACGTTAGCTAACTTTATGGATGTGGGAGGATCTTTTTGCATCATATATGCATATCAAATCATTATGTACACTTTAAATATCTTAAATTTCATTAGTCAATTAAACCTGAATAAAACTGGGGAAAAAATCCCCAGCAAGGTATAAAGCTTTGAATTTTGAGCTATAGGTTTAAATCTTAGTTCAGCTACTGATAAGCTACATGACTTTGAACAGATTACTTACTATGCTTCAGTTTATTCATTTAAAAAACCAGAACAACAAAATGTGCTTTTAAAAACTGTTTGAGAATTAAATGAATGCCACAATATAAAATATCACTCAGCATTATTCCTGGCACATAGTGAATAATCCACAATTGTTAATTTCCCTCCAGTAACAGAAATCTACCACCTGCCAAGATAGTCCATTTCCTATTTGGATAGCACTGATGATAGGTTCCTATACTATGTGGAACCAGCCCAACATTTTAAACTAAATAAAACTTAGAAGTCTGATATATGTTATTTGAAGAAAATATGTTTTTCATTGATATTTTAAGTTTGGCTATAAATTCTAGTTTATATATTTTTATGCAATTTGTCACTCAGAAATGCAGAATTTCATTTCTTTAAGCTGAATTTTTAAAAATCTGAATGACAGGGAAATACAAATCACATCCATATTTGATAAGGAGCCTTAAATAATTGAATTGATATAAATACTCCATTGAAATTTCCCTTTTTGGTTAAAAAAAGGAACAAAATATTCACCTTCTAGCAGCTCAAGATTAAATGGTATAACAACGATCTTTTAAGACTAAGTGATCATCTCCTTATTTTTAATAATAATTCATGATAAAAATTAAGAATATCAAAATGTATTGTTTTACTATCAGACTAGAAAATATATTTAATTATTTAAGCTTGTAAAACAATTTTTTAGAAAATTTTATCTTTAAGTTGTAAGATACAACTGTAATACAGAGCATTATATTTGCTCATCCTACCTATTAAATAAATATTGATATTAAACAGTATCACTTTCTTTGTGATAACCCAGCACACACTGTACATAAATTCACTTGCCTCTTATTAATTTAACTTACCATTTTATATGTTATGTAGGTTCATTTCTTAGAGAATATTATAGTTGGCTTTTCCCATAGCAAAAAAAAAAAATTATCCCTAACATATCTGATTCAAAAACAACACGAGCTGCCTACTTCTATAATAATGTTAATTTAAACAAGTTAAACTTTTTGAGAAAAGAAATTATGTCTTTCATTGAATTATCTCACGGTTAACTCCAACCTTCCAAATATAAAGAAAACATTTTCCACCTATTATAATATTTAATGGCTTGATAATTTGTAGCTTTTTAATCATGAAAAATGTTACAGTCAAACGTAGCTTGAGATGATCAGAACTAAAGGTAAAGACACAATATTAGAAACTAAAAGGTTCCTGAGATCACAAATGTAATTTATATTGGATGAAAATAGTATTTGTGTTTTCCCTCATTTCTTTTTTGTATAATAGGTTTTACTTGCCACATAATAAATGACTTTATATTTGTAGTGGATAAGTATTTTGTATTCTGAATTTTATAAGCATAGATCATGGCTAACATGATTCCTAAAAATGCTCATGCGAGGATTTAAAAAGTGAAAATAAGAGCATAAAATAAGCTTACTGTTTCACCAATCTTCCCAATGTTTCCTTGCTCTCCTACTTCTCCCTGTTAATAAAGAATATAAAGTTGAAAAAAACATTAATTTTCAAACAAGAATACTCTCAACATTGCTCCTGTTTTCATCTTAATTTAAGTATCTAGTTATAATATATAAAATTAACAAAGGAATTTTCAGTTTATCAAAACTCTGTTACAGTATTTGTGTGGGATATAGTCTTTGCTCTCTTTTCATTCAAATACTAGTAACCTGTTTCCTTAAATTACATTCTTCTATAACTGAATTTTAATCCCTTTTAAAACACTTTTACAAATAAAATTTTAAAAATAAAATATCTACTGAGGTATACTCTATAAAGGGTAGAGTGGTAGGCACTGTAGAAGATACTAAGAAGAGTGAAAACCAAGCCCTCGCCCACAGGGACCCTCTTTGCTTCAGTAGATAAGGTATCTCATGACGCTGAGCAGAACAAGCCAGCAGAACACATCCCACAGGAGGAACAAAGGCGTTCATAGGAGCAGGCTCTGTGTGGGAGAGCGCGGCTAGAGCTGGCTTCACTGCAGTTCATAGCTTTAGCCACAATTCTGCCGTCCCTAAAGCTCTGAAAATCCAAAGTTTTTCACAACACATTTGGTGGCAAACTTGACCTAACCTGTGTTTACTTGGTAGCAATGCTTTTGCCTGACCTAAGTCACAGAAAGTTAGTTTGATTAATTTGAACATCCTTACATTTCACCACAGAAATACCAATGTGTCTAATTATGGTTTTGCTGTCCCATAGCCTGCTGGCAGTGTTAAGTAAGATACAGTACGTATACCATACTACCTTATCAGAAAAACAAATGACCCAATCAAAAAATGAGCAGAAGACCTAAACAGACATTTCTCCAAAGAAGACATATAGGTGGCCAATAAACCTGTGAAAAAATGCTCAACATCTTTCATTATTAAAGAAATGCAAATCAAAATCATCTCACACTGATCAGAACAACCATCATCAAAAAATCTACAAACAAGAAATGGTGGAGACGATGGACAAAAGAGAACCCTTTTACACTACTGATGGAAATGTAAACTGGTATCAAGCCACTATGGAGAAGAGTGAAGATTCCTTAAAATACTAGCAATAAAATTACCTTATGACCCAGCAACACCACAACTGAGAATGTGCCTTGAGAAAACTATTTCAAAAAGACACACATACTCCAATATTCACTGCAGCACTACTTACAATAGCTAGGACATGGAAGCAACTGAGATGTTCAACCATTGACAGATGAATGAATAAACAAGTTGTGGTATTACGCATATGTACAATTGAATACTACTCAGTCGTACAAAGGAACAAATCCGAGTCAGTTCCAGTGAGGTAGGTGAACCTAGAACATGTTATACAGTGAAATGAGTCAGAAAGAAAAATAGTGTATATTAACACACATATATGGAATGTAGAAAAACAGTACTGATGAACGTATTTACAGGGCAAGAGTCGAGACACAGACATAGAGAACAGACCTGTGGACACAGTGGGGGAAGGAAGGGTGGGATGAGTTGAGAGAGTAGCACTGAAACCTGTACCCTACTATACGTAAAACAGATAGCTAGTTGACGTTGCTCTATAACACAGGTAGCTCAACTCAGTGCTCTGTGATAACCTAGAGGTGGGGGATCTGGTGGGGTGGGAGGTTTCAGAGGGACGGGACGTATGTATACTTATGGCTGACTCATGTTGTTGTATGGCAGAAATCAATACACAATTGTAAAGCAATTACCTTCCAATTAAAAATAAATTTATAAAAATCTAAACATCAGTGGCTTCAAATAATAAACTGTGAAACTGTATTTCAAACTATATAAGTTGGGCCCTGGATGGCGTTTACACTGGTCATGAGAAAGGGTCACTTTCAGTGGTAAGGAATGCCATGAAGAAAGCCCAAACAAAGGCACAAACTAGGGAAAAGTAGTTTAGGGTGCCATGTATAATTAATCTGACAACAATGTATATTTTATTTATATCGGAGATAGGACATTAAACTATTACCTGATTATTTTGCAGGGTGGGACAGTTAAACTCACCAAACAATATTGTAGTTACTCATGATATGTAGCTACTCAGTACTTGAAATTAACTGGTCTAAGCTGAAGTGTGATGTAAATATGATACACACACTGTATTTCAGACTTTGTACAAAAATCTCATTAATAACTTTAATATTGATAACATGTTGAAATGATAATATTTTTATATCTTGGGTTACACAAAATATATTACTAAAATTAATCTCTCCTATTTCTTTTCACCTTTTTATTGGGGCTCCACATCTGTGATTCATATTTTATACTCTATTGGTTGGCACTGAATTTTAGCACTGAAACCTAATACTCATATAGGTAATCGGTTTGAAATAAGCTTTCAAAGACTACAAAAACTTGCTTTTCTATTTCTATATACATTTATATAAATAGTAAATAAATAAAGCATTATATAAATAAAGCTTTGAATAAAGCATTGTACTAGTATGTTGAAAATCCTAGTTTTTAAGAGTTCATTAGACAGCTTTTGTAGAAAATTTGTGGCAGGATTTTATATTTATATACACAATATATATGTGTGTATGTATATGTGTGTGCATTTGAGTCAGTTCTAATGAGGTAGATGAATCTAGAGCCTATTATACAGAGTGAAGTAAGTCAGAAAGAGAAAGATAAATATCATATACTAACGCTTATATATGGAATCTAGAAAGATGGTATGGAAGAATTTATTTGCAGGGCAGCAACGGAGAAACAGACAAAGAGAACAGACTTATGGACACAGGGAGATGGGGGGAGAATGTTCTCACCTTCTCTCACCTGTATGGAGAGAGTAACATGGAAACTTACATTACCATATGTAAAATAGATAGCCAATGGGAATTTGCTGTATGTCTCAGAAAACACAAGCAGCAGCTCGGTATCAACCAAGAGGGGTGGGAGGAGGAGGGAGATGGGAAGGAGGTTCAAGAGCGAGGGGACATATGTATACCTGTGGCTAATTCATGTTGAGGTTTGATAGGAAGCAACAAAATTCTGTAAAGCAATTATCCTTCAATTAAAAAACAAATTAATTAAAAATAAATAAATAATCCCAATAGGAAAAAAATAGTTCATTAGTTTTTATAGAAAATTTGTGGCAGGATTTGATTTTATATTTGTATACACAATATATATGTGTGTATGTATATATGTATGCATATATAGATATAATTTAAAAAAAAAAGCTTCTCCTACTTAACGGTCCTCTCAAATTCCAATTAGAGAGATGAACCCTTTGTGATACATAATCTTAAGGGAGGTCTGTGTTAACAGGCAGAAAGCAAAAGTTGCTTGCAGATTACCTACATTACTGCTTGCGTTTTCAGACAGCCTGAATGTAGGAGGTGAGTTGTCTTTGAGGATGAAAAGAGACAGAGAGGAATAATTCCTGCAGGCCTACGAGAGAACAGAGATCCTAGGTTCTGTGAAAGGTGGTGGCTTTTAACAATCTCCAAAGTGCTCCCCCAGAGTTCCAGGTTCTCTCAAGGAAGTGCCAGATCTAGGAAATAGCTATATGATATTCCAAGCAAGAAATTGCAGGGACAAGTATGAGGACTGAACTGTAAAGAACTTCCTTCACTTCCTAGGTAACACGGATGCCACCCAGATGCTGAGGTAACTCTAGGGAGGAGGCAGGATATCAGTAATGACTGAGATTTGTTTCCTGCCAGTTTGACTGGATGGTAGCTCATGGTGATTTTCTAGTTGCTTAATAGTACAGGGATTAATTACAGTAAAAGATAATTAAGACTTCTATTTATAAATACCATGCATCTATTTTCTGGGAGTTTTTCTATGTAACTCAAGAGTCAGGTACAGATACTCCCAGACATGCTGACACATTAAAAAATATTTTGGCTCATATTTATTATTGGCTTCAAAGAGTGTTGTTTGTTTTCCCCTTAATCTCCAGTATCATAAAAATGAAGAGTTTAATGTAAATAATGAGCTCTGAACTCTAGATTAGGAAATAAAGCAATAAATCTCTGATACAATTCAATTTTTCATTAAATTTTAAATTTGTACTGATCACCAATTCTCATAAGTTAGTTTCTTTCAGACCTTACTTAATGCTGTACATGAAAAACCACTGCATTACTTTATATTTGTTGGTGTTACTAAAAATCACATAAAACTTCAACACAAAGCAAAAAAGTTGGTCGGTAGTACATTTTTTAAATGTCAGAAAATCTTAAAAATACCCAGTGATGATCCAGAGTATGTACTTATACTCACTGTATACTTTCAGTTAAAGGACCCAGACTTAGTGAAGATACACAAGCACAGTTTTTAAATGTAGATTTAAAAATTATAGACTTTTGACTTGTAGATTTCTACCAGTGGAACAGACAGTCCCTAAAGTTATAGTTTATTATCCTATGTGTATGCATGCTAAGTCACTTCAGTCGTGTCTGACTCTCTGCGACCCTTTGGACTATAGCCTGCCAGAATCCTCTGTCCGTGGGATTCTTCAGGCAAGAATACTTGAGTGGGTTGCCATGCTCTCCTCCAGGGGATCTTCGCTAGCCAGGGATGGAATCCACATCTCCTGCTGCTCCTGCCTTGTAGATGGATTCTTTACCACTGGGCCACTGGGGAAGCCCGTTATTGTCTTACATATAACCACAAATCTTAATATTTCTTTATTAAAATATCTAATTTTATATCTATATCTAATTATAGACATACACAAAGTAATAGTCATAGATATTTACAGACATATACCTAGATACAGATAAAGATATAATGACATACAGTATTTCAAATGCTATTTGAACCAGCTTTAACATATAACTGGTTCCCTCAATTAAGGGAATTGAATAAAATCTTTGATATGTGTTCATTTTATACTGTTCTGAAAGTCATAAATTTATCTTTTTGTAAATTATTCTATGTAACTGGTAAGAAAGTTAGTTGCTTTACCTTCAAGCCTTCTGGTCCTGGTTCACCGACATACCCCTTTGGACCTGGTTTTCCCTTAGAAGGGAACAGGGAAAAGAAAGATATGTTTAATCCTTCTTCTTTCAGAAAGTTTGCTAATTTATGAAATTCAGACTATCCTATGAGATGAAACACTTCAAAATTACTTGATAAATGCATTTTATCAAACTTATTAGCCATTCATTCTACCATGTCTGTCTACTTGCCATGCACAGTTCTAGAAACTGAGGATTGAGGAATGCACTAAATATACTTGCCTTTGGGGCTTCTCTGATAGCTCAGTTGGTAAAGAGTCTGCCTGCAATGCAGGAAACCCCAGTTTGATTCCTGGGTCAGGAAGATCCGCTGGAGAAGGGATAGGCTACCCACTCCAGTATTCTGGGCTTCCCTTGGGGCTCAGCTGGTAAAGAATCTGCCCACAATATGGGAGACCTGAGTTCAATCCCTGGATTGGGAAGATCACTGGAGAAGGGAAAGGCTACCCACTCCAGTATTCTGGCCTGGAGAATTCCATGGACTGTACAGTCCATTGAGTCCCAAGGAGTGGGACACGACTGAGTGGCTTTCACTTTCACTCACTTTTATAGAGCTTACATTCTATGGAGGATGACATAATTAAAAAAAAAATAAGTAAAATACATGGTATACTAGGTAGTGGCAAATTTGAAGAACATCAAATTAAGCAGGATGGGAGATATAAACTGTTGTGGAAGTTTGTTTAAAATTTTGGTAAGACTTATAAAAAAGACCTCAATGAGAAGGTGGCAATCGAGTAAAGACTTTTTAAAGGGGAAAACGTATATGGATACTTGGGGGAAGAGCATTCTAAGCAGAGACAAAGAGCAGTGTAAAGGCCCAGAGGCAAGAATGTAGCTGGAGAGCATAAGAGAGGAGACCAGTAAGAAGATGAGGGATGAAAAGGGAATAGGGGGAGAGGAAGCCAGGTCATGAGGGCCTGGTAGATTATAGTAAGGGCTTTGGTTTTAACTCTAAGCAAGGCAGGAAGCCTTAGCAAGCTTTGAGAAGTGCCAGGATCTGGGTTTTCACAGGATCACTCTGATGTCAGAGCAGAAGCAGGGAGTCCAAAGAGGAGTCATCTGCAATAATCCATGTGAGATATGACAATGGCATAAACAGGATAGTAACGGAGGAGGTGGGCTTCCCTCTTGGCTGGCTCAGTGGTAAAGAGTCCACCTCCCAAGGCGGGAGATGCAGGTTCGATCCCTGAGTTGGGAAGATTCCCTGGAGAAGAAAATAGCAACCCATTCCAGTATTCTTGCATGAGAAATCCCTTGAACAGAGGAGACTGGTGGGCTACAGTCCATGGGGTTGCAAAAGCGTCTACATGACTTAGTGCCTAAAACAACAACATCAGAGGAGGCTGTGGCAAGTGGGTAAGATTCTGCATATAGTCTGAAAGCAGAGCTTCCAGGAATTGTGGACAGGCCATGTGCAGAATGTGAGAGAAAGAGTTAAGAATGAACTCAAGAAAGAGTTCGTTCATGTTTAACCTGAGATGAATGAAACAAAGTAGACCGTGGGAGAACAGGTTTGAAGGGTAAATTGAAGGCTCCAGTTTTGGACATTTCCGTTTGATAGTTTTCTTAGACCTCTAAGGGGAGGGATCTGGTGGTAGTTAGTACAAGTACAGAGTTAAGGGGTAGAAGGTTCTGACCTAAACGTATAATTTTGGAAATTGTTAGCATTTGATGGCATTTAAATCCATAAGAATGGACCAGTTCATCCAGGCAGTGAGTGTAGAAAGAAAAGAAAAGTCTACAAATCAATCCATAGGGCACCCTAAAATTTAGAAGAGATGCGTGGTCATGAGGGAAATAAGGAGTATGGAGTATCATTAGAATCAATGAACTGAAATTTCTATTGGGACTGTTGGATTGGTTTACAACAGAGAATGTAACAGAAAGAAAGGAGATGATGGTTGGGGACTGAAAAGTTTAAAATTAAAAATTAAGAGGTTTCTGTAACTGGTAATGACAAGGTCAAGGGTTTGTCCATAGCAGTAAGTAGCTGAAGAGAGTAGAGGATAAGATCCATGGAGGAGAGAAAGTCAATATCCTGGAGTAATCTATAGTACATGGTTCCTAATATCAAATGACTAATGTCTGATTACACAAGATTTGATTAAGGAGATCATTATATCTCAACCAATGATGAACATCATACATTATGAGGTTCTCAAGAAAAAAATGAAAGGTATTTCCTGCAAGACTAATAATGACTCTTAAAATATATGTATTGTACACACTTTAATTACTTATGATACTGTAATCTTTCATCATGTACCCCCAAATTCTTAAAAAATTCATTTTTAGAACATGAAAACAAGTAATTCATACATTACCACACACTATCATCTGAAAAAATAGCTGGCCAGAAAATATCTTATTTGCCTTCCATAAATTTACTAACAAACTCAGAAAACAGAAATTTTCCAAGTATTACTAAATGGTTAATGTATTTAGGTTCATATGACATTTTGAGACACTTTATAAATAACTTGCACAAATTACTAAGACCATAAGACTGGATGAGTTGAAGGAATAAGTAAACATGTAGTAGGTATAATATCATTTAAAATATCCCTGGAAAATTTTAGTTGTAGGGCTTCCTTGGTAGCTCAGTTGGTAAAGAATACTGCAATGTAGGAGACGGGCTCGATCCCTGGGTCAAGAAGATCCCTGGAGAAGAAAACAGCAACCTACTCCAATATTCTTGCCAGGGAAATCCCACAGACAGAGGAGCCTGATGTGCTCTAGTCCATGGTGTCACAAATATGTAGTAGGCATAATATAATTTAAAATATCCTTGGAAAATGTTAATTACAACATTATTTTATTTGAGGGGGTTGTATTGCTATAGACCATGGAGGCCACTTCATAAACCACTATAGTTTGTTTTCATTTTTTTTCCTTTGCTATAACTTTAACTTCAGTGTTATTAAAAAACACAAAACCATTGTTTTAAGAGAAGTATTCTTCGAAAATTATTTATGTGGTACCTACTCTTGGCCCCAGTTCTCCAAAGGATCCAGTTGGTCCTTCTTCTCCCTTAAATAAAGATCAGAACATGTCATGACCTCATGAGATGAGTATTTAAAAATGTAAACCCTTACTCCATTTATTCTGAAGTCTGAAGCTCTTTCTGAAATGTAATAAAAATAATACTGTGATTTTCTTATATTTTAGAACTATGTCACCCCATAACACTTAATTTTTTTGTTTGACAAGCCTGTATCACATTAAGAAGGATATGTACTTTTGGATTATTTTTAAAAATTGGTAGATGATATAAGACAAACATAGAAAATTGAGAGTAGATAAGAGTGAAAGTGATTAGGGCATTGCAAAAATCAGCATTAGGAATCACTGAGGACTGTGAAATGAGGACAGACTTGACTTTCTTGGGCTCTATGTCTCTGACATAAATAGATGGAAATCTGTATAAATTGTTTTTATTAAAAAATTGTTAGTACAGAATCTGCTCTTGGCACATTCTAATTCTTAATTATTCAACAAATGCTTTTGAGTCTCAGTTCTTTCTTAAGCCTTAAAGATAAAGATATATCAGATTCTACACAAATGGAGCTCAATGTTTACAGTTTCCTTTTATCTAATTTGCAGATCCAACATTTTTGAGATCAAATCAGCTATAATGTCATAAAATATAAAATTTTGTGCACTCTTCTAAGGAATAAATATTGTATGGGTAGACAAAACAGAGAAACATAAAACAAATAATATTTATACTTTATTCTCTAAGAAAATTAAAATAATAAATGTATTCTATTTAACATATTTGCTAAACATACTGATTTTTTTTACCTTTAAGTAAACAGCTCATATTTACCACATCTGAACACTTACAGACCTCTTAAATCATAGATCTTATTTATCTAAAAACATTTTGCTCAGTCCATAATTCAATTAAAAATAATTTATGGGTTAGAAATATAAAATAGACACAAATGGTAATGTAAATTCTAGTACATATGAGGGAGATTATGGGCTCAGATTCTTCAGCCATTTTGTAGAGACCACTTCATAAATCACTTAGTGAATTCAGAACATTAAAATGATTCCAAATTCCATCCCATAACTGCCAATACAAAACGGTAACTTGAAATCCTCAATGGTAAAAAATTGTCCATCTAATGCAGTTTTCTCTGAGCCAAAACTGAAGTCCCATGAAAAATAAAAAAGAAAAATCTGAATTTAAAGAATTGCTGACTGGATATGTATTTTCTCCATACCTGAGTTCCTTTGAGACCAGGAGGTCCGGAAGGCCCTCTGTTTCCAATGAATCCCTGTAAAAGCAATATAAGGACACAAAGTAACTCTGTTAATACTTTTTCATTAAGCATTAGGCTCAGATGTGCAATAATATTTGATATCATTCATTTCTCATTGGGAAATTATCAAAGCGATTTGGAGGATAAATAAGCAGAAAACTGCATGTTATCCAAAAACTTGGAAAACATGAGAAACTTAATTTTAAACAATATGCTAATATTCATATAATCTGCTCACAGTATGTCACTCTTCAACTGGATCATGGTTCATAAAAAGTACTCCTAGAATTAAAGCAATAGGCCCAATTGTTAATCTGATACTAGTACAGTAAATACTGATGTATAATAGAGTGTCCACAAAGTCTGAAAACAGATGGAGAAGATATATAGTGTTTTAACATCTGTTTAGAGACTAGCAAAGTCTGGAGCACATTATTCATATGAAATGTTCTTCAACTTACTTCCTTTCTTGATACAAGCTAGTAAAAAAGAGAGGACAATTTGCAGAACAAAGTAACTATCTGAACACAATCATGAATTTTAAGATTAAAATACATCTTTTGTTAATCTAAATGCATGCTGTTAAAAGTCAAATGCTCTTTGAATAACAATTCATCCAGTAACTAAAACAAAAATCTTCCTATTTCAGGAAAGATTATATATCATTTATTTAACATGGCAACATTTTTCTTGTTTTGTTCTGTTCCTCTAACTAGGCAATGAGCCAAATTTTTAAGTAACTCTTTTTTAAAAACTACATTTTGCATTATTGCTTTCAGTAAGCCTATAACCATTAAAAGGTTTAATCTAATTTTTAGCTGTAACAAATAACTATGCCAAATAGTAGATCTACCTACGTGACTGGTTTTTGGTTTGGAATGGAGCAGAGTGATAAACTGCATGAGAATCTTTCCTTCATGATATATCTTGGTTTATCATTGCTATGTTCTAAACACAATCAAAAAATGAAAAACTGCTCAAGCTTAAAAGTCTATAATATATTATCACAGGTTTATTTTGTACATAAGCACTATTTAAGAAACTGCATGAGTTTAGGCAATAACCTAGCTGTTTTGCTCAGCTTCCTTATTTTTAATAGGAAGAGATGGATTATTGAAATGAACGTATACTGTTCAATATATTCATCTTTTTTTAGGCAAAAGCATCCTAATTTTGCTTAATGAAGTAGTCTTTCCTCATGTAGTTTGAGGGGAGGGGACTGTACCCTTGACTAAATTTAAGGATGGATATGTGATAAGGACCTAAAAAATCAACATAATCCACATGCCTAGAAACAGTTGTTGGCTCAGTAATGAGACAGAAACCCAAGTTAGTCCAACTAAAGAAATGTTTAGCTTACGGTGGAACAACTGGGAAGACAGAATAGCATTAAGGATGATGTAAACCTAAACAGAAGGAAACCAAGAAGGGGAGAGAATCTGAGAAGGAAATCAAAGAATTAATAAATGAAGTGATTGGGTTCTAAGGATATCTTTGGGGGTCTGGGTGTAGCTGTGTTTGAATTCCTAAACTTCTCATATACAATCATATTTTAGTTGAGTTTTCATTATTTACAATCAAAGAATCCTGACTGATACAGTGACTTCAAACTCTTAACATCTAAAATGGTCTTCTAGAACTCTAAGGTTTTAATATTCAGACTAAAGGTCAGAATGTTATGATATTTAAATTCCATCACAGAATAGCTAATGCTTAGTTATTTATTCGTATGTTCATTTTTTCAACATTTTATTAATTTTCTACTATGTGTAAGGTCCAATAAAAAGCACAATAGTAGTCTTGAACTATACAAATATGAATAAGATAGACTCTTTATTCTCAATGAATTAATAATTTACTATGGGAGAAGGCACTTTAAAATAAAAACTAGAGTAAGAGTTGTAATGGAACAGAAGTATTAGCAAAGTGGAAAAGGGGACTTAGATGAAGGAGCAAAAACTTTTCTGGGGGGGATCAGAAATTTTTTAGGATGTGCAAATAACTTCGTATTGAATTATGATAGGTTAACAAAAACATGTATCTAAAAATAAGTACAACAAAAACTTACCAACAAATGTGGGGTCTCAAGAGGCACTGATTAAGATGCATTTTACATTGGAGAATATATTTAAAAAACTTAGCTCCAAACCCAGAAGAGGGGTTAAGTGATCCAAGTGAACGCAATTTTGCTATTCTCTCACTGCAGCTATTTAGCCTGTGAAAGTGGCACCCTGACTAAAACCCCCCCAAAAAAAACCCTTTCAGGGAGGCAAATAAGCCCAGGTTCCTTTTTCCTTCCTCTTCCAAGATTAATTTATAATCTTAAAGGAATAAAAGTTGAATTAAAGGGGAAAAACTAGTTACAGGCTGTTTATAAGAAACACCTCTAAAACATAAAAATGAGAAAAATTAAATTTAAAAAATAGGAGGATATATGCAAGCAATTTACCAGCCACAAAATAGCTGAAGTAGGTGGCTCAGATGGTAAAGAATCTGCCTGCAATGCAAGAGACAGGGTTCATCCCCAGGTTGGGAAGATCCCCTGGAAAAGGAAATGGTAACCCACTGTTGTACTCTCGCTGGACAGAGGTGCCTGGTGGGCTACAGTCCATGGGGTCACAAAGAGTCAGACACAGCTGAATGACTAACACTTTAAACTCTAGAGCTAAAAGATTTTAGGGTAAAATAGATTATTAGCATTAAGAGGGTCATTCGATCATGATAAAAGGCTATGTTCATTAGGAAGAGAAAAACCAGAATTTTTATGCATTGAGTAACACAACTTCTAAATATATACATTAAAACTGATAAAGATGAATTGAGGAATCGACTATTAGAGAGGGAAATTTTAACGCATCTCTTCCAGAAATTAGTAGGTCAATCAAGCTGATAAAAATTAGTAGAAACAAAAAAGACTTAAATTGAAAAATTAATAAACATGATCTAATGCTGTTCTTGTTGTTCAGGCACTCAGTCATGTTTGACTCTTTGCGACCCCATGGGTGGCAGCAGGCCAGGCTTCCCTGTCCTTCACCATCTAATGGCCAAATACAGAAAATGGAAACCCCAAATTCGAGTTTACACAGTGTTTACAAGCATAAATGAAAGATTGATGAAACCTAAAAGATACCTGCCAGAAAAGATATCAATAGTTCTATCAATTAAAAAAGTGTAGTATATCTATATAGTGAGTTACTATATAGTGAAAATGAACATGCTATAATTAATCAACTTAGAATAAGCTGAAAAGATAAGATTGAGTGAAAGAAGAAAGTAACTGAAGTATGTATGTAGTATGATTTCACTTGTATTAATTTCTAAAACAAGCAAAATAAATATGAGTATAGACATAGATGGTGACAGGGAGGGAACAAAGCCTCACCCATCAGTAGACAATTGGATTAAAGATTTACAGCATGCCCTGCCCACCAGAGGAAGACCCAGTTTTCCTCACAGCCAGTCTCTCCAATCAGAAAGCTTGCATAAGCCTCTTATTCTCATTATCAGAGGGCAGACAGAAGAAGCAAAAACTATATTCCCACAGTCTCCAGAACGAAAACCACAATCACAGAAAGCTAACCAATAACCATGGGATAATCACATGGATCACAGCCTTGTATAACTCAGTGAAGCTACGAGGCATGCTGTGCAGAGCCACCCAAGACAGATGGGTCATGGTGAAGAGTTCTGACAAAACACAGTCTACTGGAAGAAGGAATGGCAAATTACTTCAGCATTCTTGCCTGAAGAATCCCACAAACAGTATGAAAAGGAAAAAAGATACAACACTGGAAGATGAGACACCCCCCCCCCCCCCACCCAGGTGGATAGGTGTCCAATATGCTACTAGGGAAGACAGGAGAAATAGGTCCAGAAAGAATGAAGGAACTGAGCCAAAGTGTAAATAACACTAAGATGTGGATATGTCTAGTAGTGAAAGAAAAGTCCCACTCTGTAAAGAACAGTATCTCATAGGAACCTGGAATGTTAGATCTATGAATCAAGGTAAATTGGATAAGGTCAAACAGGAGATGGCAAGAGTGAACAACATCTTAGGAATCTGTCAACTAAAATGGACAGAAATGGGCAAATTGAATTCAGATGACCATTATATCTACTACTGTGGGCAAGAATCCCTTAGAAGAAATGGAATAGCCCTCATGGTCAACAAAAGAAAGTTCATAAGGCAGGACTTGGGTGCAACCTCAAAAACAACAGTATGATCTCATTTCACTTCCAAGGCAAATCATGTGACATCACAGTAATCCAAGACTATGCCCTAACCACTAATGCTGAAGAAGCTGAATGTTTCTATGAAGACCTACCAGATCTTCTAGAGCTAACATCAAAAAAAGATGTCCTTTTCATCATAGGGGACTGGAATGCAAAAGTAGGAAGTCAAGAGATACCAGGAGTGATAAGCAAGTTTGGCCTTGGAGTGCAAAATGAAGCAGGGCAAAGGCTAACAGTTTTGCCAAGAGAACACACTGGTCATAGCAAACACTCTCTTCCAACAATAGAAGAGGCAACTCCACATATGGACATCACCAGATGGTCAATACCAAAATCAGATTGACTATATTCTTGGCATCTGAAGATGGAGAAGCTCTATTCACCCACCAAAAACAAGACCTGGAGCTGACTGTGACTGTGGCTCAGATCATCAGCTTCTCATTGCAAAATTAAAGCTTAAATTGACGAAAGAAGGGAAAACCACTAGGCCATTCAGGTATTGTTGTTGCTGTTGCTCAGTCGCCAAGTCATGTCCAATTCTCTGCAACCAAATGGACTGCAGCACACCAGGCCGCCCTGTCCCCTTAACATCTCCTGGATATTGTCCAAATTCCTGTCCACTGAATCAGTCATGCTATCCATCTCATCCTCTGTAGCCCTCTTCTCCTTCTGCCTTCAATATTTGTCACCATCAGGGGCTTTTCCAATAAGTCAGCTCTTTTCATCAGGTAGCCAAAGTATTAGAGCTTCAGCTTCAGCATCAGTCCTTCCAATGAGTATTC